CCAGTTATGGCGAGCGCCCGCCCCACTTCGAGGCCTCCCTTTATGGCCCTCTCAACGCCATTCTAGTCACTAACTATCCTCCTGAAGATAATTTCCTCGTCAAACCCCAGACACTCATTCGTCTCGACGAGCCGAACGGGACAAGAAATGCCAACTCCATCGACTCATACAACGCGAACGTGGCTGATAACTTTGGAAAGAGCCCGGATTTCTTAGTGGCAAGGGTGACCCCCGGGTCGGATGTCGACGACAAGGTGGTCATCGTCGTTGAAGTCAAGGCCTACGACAACAAGAAACAGAAGAAGCAGCGCACTGCAAAAGAGCAGCTCTTGACCTACCTTACGCAACTTCAGAGAAAGCGCAATAGGACTACGGGGGAGCCCTTGTACCTCGGCCAGAACCTATATGGGTTGCTGGTTGTGGCGGATAATGTCGAAATCATCACTCTCCCAGCCGTAGGGGACCTAGCTACGCTATCACCGCCAGTGAAGTTTGAAGACCCTACAGTAACGAACCTATTGCAGTCTCTCTATGACGTCTATCATACCGAGTAGTGTAGAAAGGCTACTAGGACGATTATTTTTCACAGTGTATCTCAGTACTATGACCTTGCCTTGTAGATGTTAAATATTATATGCGCCACGTAGCATTTCAGAAAGAGTTGTGACCCACCGAAATCCAGTTACTATATTGTCGGTAAGATACGCAACATCGGTACTGTTGCCCATGGGGACACTTGATGCCAGCGACTTACAGCGACTTATGTACACTATCATCTCTAAGCCTTTAGACTGAGCCCATGCGGCAGAACTTAGTAAAGCAAAAGACAGAGAAAATAGAGAAGTACTAGGAGCCCAATTGCCAAGCACTAAGGCGAATGAGCGCGGATGGTTGGGAACACTAGACGAGAAAGAGAACTTGATCCATATACTTGCCAGTGTCCACAGGTCAGTGGACCCGTCATATTTCATCGTTGGCAACTCATATGCTCCACGAATTTCTTTCGGAGCCCACAAGCTCTACATCCAACAGACATTCGTATTCTTCTCCGACCGTGGAAATTGAACACTCCGGACTAGGCTTCTTAAACCCCCCGGCAACCTGGCTAAGGTAGGAGTTACTGGTCCTGACAGAATATTTCATGAAAAATGATACCAAGACAAATTGCTTCTAGGAGAGAAAGGAATTTAGACTGGAATATATTTCGAGACCACGGTGAAGATAAACTTAAGTAGCTAACTAGATATCTAACGCAACCAAAACAGATTAGACATTGTCAACGTTGTTGTTGTAAATGACTTGTAAGAAATCGTGGAGCTTCTTCTTCTTGATAGACATTACGTTGCCGGCCTTGTAATTCTCTGTTATGGGGAACTCGATCAGCTGCATATGACCACCCCCAATCAACACCCCATGCATAACGTCGAATAGATGTTTTTTGTTGTCTTGACGGTGTTTGGCTGCCATATGCTCAAAATATGCGAGAATTTGATTGAGCGCCTGACCGTTGTGTAGCTCTGTCGCGTCCTTCTTGATTTCAACGATGAGCAGAGGAATATCCTCCGTCTGTGATTCTGTTGCCTTCGCAACTACAAAGTCTGGTTTCTTGGGCATAGCCCCGACGCTGGACGAGTCTCGGGAGGCCACAATAGCGTGATATGAATCCAACGACAATCTAGGATCGTCAATGAGAACGTCGGTAGGCAAATTCGGGCTGTCATCTTCGGGTTCCCAGTCCATGAAGGTCGCGGCACGAATGATGGCCTGAGGCTTGACCAGGAACATGTCGGCGACTGGGAAACAGGTTGTCAAGACTGCGTTGACGGGACCATAGAGTGACGGCTCAGCCGCCTTCGCTTTGATCCTTTGAAAAACCCATGCAGGTGGGGTTGGCATCTTTCTCCGGGCGTCGTCAGCTTCATCCTGCACACCATGACCGTATCCGTTAGTGAGTATGAACAACCATGGTCGCATGTAGTGGCTTACTGGCTTATTTACAAGGCGGGGTAACTGAATGCGATTCATAGCTGCGGGGAAAGATCGTGTACAGAGTGTGTTATGTTGTTCTCGAAAGCGTTAAGGTGGAAAAGTCGGATGCTTTGAAAATTGAGACTGGGAGGACTTGAGTCTTTTATACCAGCGGTGTTGAAGATTGCATCTAAGATACTTGGCCACTGGAACTAGATGCCATACTTCGATCACGATAAGCGCCAAGGCCCAGGGGAAACACAACCTTATGATTCGTGATCAGAAAATCAGAAAAAGGAGATAAGAAAATTGTGGACATTACATTGTGGCGTTCATGAACAAACTTCAATGCCTTGTTCTTGAAATTATGTTCTGGGCTTCAGTTCGTGGATATGCGTATTTTGCTTAGCCACTGGATCAGTGAATCTGCAGATTCGAGTTAACTACTAAACCCCACGGGCAATGAAATTGCCAAGTTGTGCCACTGCTCGGCCCACGCGAGGTGTTGTCTTCTTGATAATCACAGCATAAGGCCCATTTATTGGGACTCCGATTGTTGAAGCCACATCGGTCTGGTAGGGTACAGATGCCATATCTGGACTTGGGTGGACCTCCGAAGCCTGGGCTCGTAAGGTGTACAGGTGCCGCGCGCACACTGTAGTCAATATATGAACCCCTTTAGGTTAAATTCTTGGTCCAAATGGAACACTCTCCTGAACCTGTCTGGTCAGGGTTGCACACAGCATATCTGGATTCTGGAGTGAAGAGGATGCGAAGACCATGCGGTCTCGGTGAACTACACCTGAAAAATGGCCGCATGTCACCGGTCAGGATGGTGTATAAATCAAGAGTGGGTAGTACTTGCTTACAAGTTACCAAGTCCTTTATCACAGTTGCTATCCTGTTCAACGGACGTCGGGAGGCAATTGCAAGTAGAAGGATAGTAGACTTAGGAACTGGCATGGGTCCGTTAGGATAAAGTAGATCCCAAATCTGGGGATAAAACTATTTGGAAGCCCCTTTCTCGGAGAAACCCAGGGTTTCTCGAGAGGGTTATTTGGAAACCGTGGTTTCTCGTCTTGGAATCGGATGTGATAGCCGAGGTCGACCAAGTAACTTGGCCGCACCGATGCTGCCGACAACTTGCTTAAGGGAGCTCGTTGACCAGCGTCGATGTCACTGGCAAACTGGTGCAGGGATGGCATGAAAATTTGAATTGGCCACAAATTTAAAGTGGCCATGAGGTTTGAGCGCCGAGCGCTGAGCCTTGACTCAGTTTTTAGTTTGTTTAAACGTCGACCCTGGAGACAATTCTTGAACGTGTTTGCTAAATCTCTGCGGAGCTCGAAATGCCGATCAAGTACTTCTAGACGAAAGGTTTCGGGACGGTGTTCTTTACCTTCACTCCCGTACACTTTTGCACTCCCCCCAACACAACAATTGAAGATGTCTTCACGCCTTGTTGCTGGCTTCCTCGTAACTCCCGAATTCCTCTACAGTTGGTTCGAAGCCCAGGGCAAAATACTTTTCGAACATGGCTACTCCGGATTTGGCAACCTATGGCTCGTCGAGCACGGCTACTATACGCGCATTTTCCCCGCCGACGACCCCACCAGTGGCGATCTTATGTTCATCCTCGTCTCGCACTGGACTAGTTTCGACAGCACGAACAAGGAGGAGATCGAGAATAAGTTGCGTACATTCAAGGAGGACAGCCCCGAGGCGCTGAAGGTCGCGGAGGAGTTGGGCCTTCCAGAATACAGGGAGTTTGTGCACCTCTCGGAGCCTTGGTAGATGCGGTGGGTGACGTTTATCCAGTAATTGTTGACTTTTGGGGTCTTGGGGCTGACGAGCAATGTTCGTAGGCGCAGTGAACCCAACAATACCTTGAACGATTGCCGCGTGTCCAGAATTCTCCAAGCGTTGTTCGTTATTAGCTATGTGCCGTTGCTCTCCGGTTGTGTTGCTTTAGACTCTTGTAAATGTTTGTCCTTGTCATCTGTCCAAGCGTACACATGTGTCTCCGCTGTTTTGTGTGGGGTATATAGTGTCTCGTGCCTGACACGCCGAAGTGCCGTGCAGGCAAAGAAAGTATGAGCACCTCTATGTAATAAAAATGACTCAACCGATTGAGGTTGTCAAGCCATCCGCAAGCCTTCAGTGTACCAGCAACGGTCCTCTCTTGCATTATGAATCTGCGAACTGACACCGGCAACCCGAATGTATGAGTATCCGATCAAAACACAGGATGGTGTGGCGCCCGGGCCCCGTAGCATCTGAGCACGGTTTGGCTTGGTGTATGTAAATTGCATATTTATTATTCCACCATCCCGGAGAATTATAGTGCACATCGTCGTCACAGCAAACGTAATAGTACAATGTGGCGCCCGTGGTGTATCCCGCCCGTGTCCCCGATCAGAACCACGATTCACTTCCGCACGACGTTGAATAGCAATATATAAAGACAGCTACTACTACTAACTCGGTATAGTGAACTTGGAATTGTCAATCGAGCAACGATTTAGTGTGCTGTATGCTGTGTGTATGCTGCACACCAACGGACTGTCCCACAGAGACTTGAACTCTCGATCTTCCGGTGTGTACTCAAAGGGGAGTTACAACAGTTGGACGCAGTAACAAACAAGGCCATGGGACATCCATCCAATTCGACTTGGAGGACTCGCGCAGTCGTTAGGCGAAAATCCCCGCAGCCGATGTCCGGGGAGCAGCCGTTTAGGCAATCTTCACAGCCACGGGAACGCATCCAATTAGTACAGAATTCTTGGTATATGGTGCAGTAATAGTACACGGTGTGGCGGCTGCACGGGAGGAAAATAGCATGTGCATGAATCAACATCCCGAGCATGCATTTCTGCCTCTGTCATTGTGTGTGAAAGACGTTATAATTAGTACGGAATCACCAGAAAGGCCGTGGTGCGTAGCGTAGCTACGAAGTAGAAAATTCCTCCACTTGAGTCAAACATCGAAGCATAAATATACCCCTAAGAAAGGATTCTCATTATTCGTATACAGTGTCCCAGAGAGAGTTGAACTCTCGATCTTCCAATGTGTAACGAAGAGGAGTTCATATAACAATCGGACGCCGTAACCAACAAGGCCATAGGACATACACACAGCGTATACGGGGAACCCGGATGGAGCAGGAATGTGGCGCCTGCACCGTTTCGCGCACGGTGGAAATCGATATCAATTGTAGAGAGGTCTCAGGTGCCCGACAGGAACTGCCTCCAGTTATTATCTGCGAGCAGGTTATTAGTATTTTAGAGGCGCAAGCTAGGCCCGAATCGTGACGCGTAGCTGGTGCGAATGTCCTTTACTCGGGTCAAACTTTAAACTTTAAAACATTCAGTAAAAAACGATTTGGGTCCATACTATACTACTGTCCCAGAGAGACTTGAACTCTCGATCTTCCGATGTTACATACACGAACGAAAAGGTCGTATAACAGTCGGACGCCGTGACCAAATAAGCCATGGGACACGCACTTGAGGAATGCGATGCTCTGTGTCGTCTATATCCCACGGCACGAGGCGGCGAACGCTGCTGATGAGTGAAAGCGAAAGAGCCTTGAAGTTGATAGTACCTGGGTATCCAGGTCGGGTTGGTCTACATGTGAATTAGAAATAGGATCGGAGTCTGCGTACAATATATGTAGCTACTTGTTACGCGTTGTCAGAGAGCAGTTAGTATCACAACTCGTGGTGCTTACCCCGTTCCAATCTTTCTCGAAACGACACCTCGAAGCAACAAAGACACCTTTCTCCCACCGCATGCTTTCATTCAAAGTTGCAAAACATCAGCCAAGTACTGTGATAACACCATAGCTCGTGGATCTCCAAAGCATACGCCAAAAAGTATGTATTTAAGGCAACATTACTGTCCCAGAGAGACTTGAACTCTCGATCTCCCGATGTATATCCTCGGAAATCAAGTGAATATTATGACACTCGGGCGACGTCACCAACTAAGCCATGGGACATGTATTTTCTTGATATGTAACGGGCTTGTACGGCAAGAGCTTTATAACCCTAGCTCTTGATCGCGAGATCGTGTTGTCATAGAGCTGTTTAGGTGTCGAATTGTGGTGGTAGGTAGAATAAACAGCGTAGAGGAGTCCAAGTACAAGCACCAGGTGAGCGGGAGAAAAGAAACCACCCAAATCGGGCTCGCGTCCCTTTACCCCTATTATCTCCCCCCGCTCGGCACATCCCGAGACGAAGTTGTCATCGCCCATCCTCTCCTCCTCCACCCTCGCCCTTCCCAATTCACATCCCCAATCTATTCTCATACGGCCTGAATACCAAAGATGGATCTCGGATCGAACTTCCCCGCCAAACTCGAGCCCTTCCTGCTCATGGCGAAAAGCCTCAAAGGCGCCGCGGCCGCGAAGCTGATCCACGACGCCACGTCCGCCCCTGGTGTTTTCGTGTTTTCGGAGCTTTTGGAGCTGCCTAACATCTTGGAGGCTAGCTCCCTTCCTTCCCTAAATTGCGGTATGACTGCTGATGGAGTTGGTGTAGTTGGGCAAAAGCGAACAACATGAGAAGTCGCTCTCGCTGCTGCAGTTGTTCTCGTATAGGACTTATCAGGATTATATCGGTGCGTTTCCCACTGCTTCCCCTATATGTTAAACTGGGTACTGTGATATTGACGCATGGCCACAGAACACAAAGACCAACTCCCCCCTCTCAACGCAGCGCAAACCACAAAGCTCAAGCACCTCTCCATCGTCTCCCTCGCCTCTTCCCGCCGTGTACCTACCCTTTCTCCCTTCCCCACGTTCTCCCTACTCACACGATTGGCTACATAGATCCTCCCCTACGCCGACCTCCTCAAAGCTCTAGACATGCCGACAATCCGGGACCTCGAAGACCTCATCATCGACGCGATCTACCTCGACATCCTCCGCGGCAAACTCGACCAGAAAGAGCAACAGCTCGAGGTGGAGTACACGATGGGGCGCGACCTCGCCCCGGGGGCGCTCGAGGATGTTTTGGCTGCGCTTCAGAGCTGGTTAGTCGCCCTTTCTCACACATTTTCTCTCATCTTGTTCCATGATGAGTCTCAAATCGTACACGCAGGGCGGAAACGACCTCGGCAGTCCTCCAAACACTCGACGCCAAAATCTCCCAAATCTCACTCGCATCCGAAAGTGCTCTCAAAGCCGAAGCGGAGCACGAGAAGGCCCTCCAAGCGAACCTGAAAGAGGTGTTTGAGAAGCAGAAGGATAAGGCTTTGGGTGCTGGGGGGATAATGAATCGGCGGAATATGAACCAACAGATTAGCTATGATCCTAGGGAGCGGGAGAGGGGGGAGCGGGAGGCAATGGGAATGCATATGGATGTGGATGAGGAGATGGGGAGTAAGGGCAAGAATCGGAAGTGAGTGTGATGTCTTCCAGCTGTCCACTGTCGCCGGTTGGCGGTTTCTGATTGATACCCATTTTTCCTTGATTTTGCAGAGCGTCATCAGAGGCCCAACCCAAGTCCCGGCAGAAGAGAAACCGATTCTGAGCCCCCCTCCATACCCTCCTGACTGTCAGTGTCAATGAGATATTCGGTTTGAGCGACCCAGCGAGATTTGATCGTGATCGGCTGTAACACTCAGCGCTGCGGAAAGCGCAGATCATAAGTGTTTTCATATGAGGTTCTATGTTACCAAGAACGGGATTAAGTGGCTTGCGATCGACGCCCACCCTTTAAATGACCATACAGCGCAATCCCAAATCCAATGTCAGTGTATTCATAGTTCTGCTTGTCCGAGTACGCCAGTACTAGGCTAAGAACGGGACCAAGTGGCTCTGCATCGAGGCCCACTCCACCCACCCACCCACCTGCTACCAGATCCGCTTTTTTTGTAAATTTTCTGTTCTGTACAAGTGTTCTGTTCATGCGGCAAATGTGCAGTGGCACACGGGTAACGGTGGACGCGCGGGTATCTATTTGCATCACATGGGTCTGGGCTGATCCTACTTACTTTACACCACCACGGTCCTGTAACTTTAAGTAACTCAAGCCACCCACCCCGCCTCCGAAATTCATGGACATTGGACGGGGGAGCGAAGGGAGGGCCTTCCTCGTTGCAAGGGCAGATCCTTCTCAGGGCTTCGAGACGCCATCTTATATTATAAATGACGAACTGCACTCGACGCCTCGTGTCCGGCGATGGGCGTGCTGCATGCTGTAAAGCACCCCATCACTCATTGACACCTCGATGGTGCCTTGGTCTTGTCCCAATCTTAGCTGTGCACCACTCCGGCGAGATACCCTTCTGGACGGTTAAAAATAAGTTATCATTTGTGCTTACAGGGGGCACACAAAACGCCCGCCTGTGCGTGCGTGCGTGCGTTCCCACTTTCATCTCTCGTTCTTGTTCTTTCACCATATCGCTACTGCTTCTCTCTCTCTCTTGCTTTCTGCCCCGCACCGTCCGCAAAAATGTCACAACCGGACACCTCCCCCTCCTTCCTCTCATCCCCCACCTCCCCCTCCCTCCCTCGCCCTCGCCCTTCCCCACCTCCTGCCGCACAACCAAATGCAACCTCCTCCGCCATCGCCAAATTCCGGCCCACCCCAAAAGAAGTGATCAACGGCATCGCCCCGCACGTATTCGACGAGCGTCGGCGGCGGCGGCGCCGCTCGCACTCGCCCTCCGCGCCGAGGCCACCACCGCACTTCAGTCAGCGAAAAGGACAAAAGCTGTCGTCGCCCCTTAGGATTTCCGGGGTGTTCGAGGTCGATAGTGATGGAGAGAGTGTCATCTTTCTCGGTGCGTCCGTTCGTTGCTGCGTGTACTGAATGCTGATTGGGATGGAATGATATACTTATAGAACAAACGAGCGAACACCATCACCACCACATCCACCACCACCACCATAGTAATCTCCACAACCCCGCCCATCATTCACATTCCGAAGGAACACTAGCGATGGAGCCTCCGCGCGTGCCCGCCCCCGAACGTCCCGCAACACCCGAACGCACCGCCAAACGGCGTTCATACGGCTTTAGCATTCGCATATTCAAGTGTGTCTTTCGTCTTACCTCCCATTACATACGTGTCCACGGTTCTGACAACCGGCCCATGACAGAACCATCGCCGTGAAATTAAAGTAGGTACATCAGGGCTTCTATCTCCCAGAAGTCGTATTCAGTACGAGAACATACCTCTCACTGTTGTCCACTTGCAGATCGTCGCCCCGAGCATAGGCCATGCCCATGCTGTAATTCTATCACCCATCTGGCAGCGTGTGTTTCGCGTTATCAACCTTCGCGCCTATCTGCCACAACACGATTGCTCTATCGATAGCTACCCCCCGCTTAGATAGGGACGAATACTCACACCATTCTACACATGTCATGGCTTCCATGGCACCCCTCTCCTCTGCATTCAATTCTGAACTCATCTTCATCTTCGTATTATGATTTACATATCATACATACCTCAATTGGCACCCCTTTCCCCTGCATCCAATGTGCTGTTCCACGAACCAACCAGAAAAGTTTAACGTTAACTGTATGTACTTGTATCCACCTCTACTTCAACGTCTGCCTTCTACCTATAATTATGATTATTCCTTGACTGTAACCTGAATAGATGAACCCTAGATGATGATCATGCCTGCCTCGAGACGGCGACAGCGACGGCGACGACGTGCGCACCGCATTTGCAATTGTATCAGCGACACGGTGATTATGAGCGGCGTCTCTCGGCCCCCCACGTCAACGCCGCAATATACCATACAGTACACAATATACAATACACTCACAAATTAACTTGGCTCGTGGAACCAACCTACCGAGGACCACTGCCATATCTGTAAGTGTTCCTTGAGCCTTCCCACCGAGCTTCATGCGGAGCCTGAGGAGCTTGAGCCGTGAGCGTGGGGTGCGCTGATCTGGTTCTGCCATGCACATCATGAGGAAGCCCGTACCCGTGTTCTGAGAAAGCGCCACCCATGCCATACCATACCCATAACGTATACTATGCGGCATAACCCGAGAAAATAGAATGCAGAGCCGGATCGGGTCGCGTTCTATTCCACACGCTCGGAATACGGAAGCAAAGTCACGGTCGGAATGGCGGCTCGGAGGACACGCGGTGTTGGATGCTGGATTGCAAATGAGACCCTGTCAAGTTCGACGCGTACGGGCCTCGCAGCGGATTGTAAACCACAAATAGCCGTTCCGGAACCGGCGAATATGTGAGGCCTTGGCGAGGCACGCAGAATGCAGGCGCTTATTGTAAGTGTCGAAATATATGGTGTTAACTTTTATGTAACAGTTTGTTATCTGCACACCGACAATGGACTTTACATGGACATACGCATCCGACGTCGCGAATACGCGCAGGCCATTTAAAAGCCACAAGAAGCGAAAATCGATCAGAGAAAGTACGCGGGCAGCGGTTACTTGACTTAACCCAACTTGACAGGGTGCGCAGGGCCCTCAGTCAAACGACCGAATCGAAAACTTAGACAGGAAGAAGGCTGAAGAAGGGGTCTGAAGAGAAAAGAAAAGCCCGATAACCCGGCAATCACGGTGTCCACGCGTCCAGACACGTCCACAACCGCAAATACCTTAGTCATCTTTGTTGAACCTGACCCTTGCCCCTTTCATCCAACTTTCATCGGCAAACCCACAGCAGCCCGACCAACTTTTTCTCCGTCGACACCATTGGCACGAATGAAGGTCAACGTAAAGCACTGGCACGCCGTCGCGCACTGGCGCTGGGACACGGGCCACTCCGATGGCGATGACCCCGACAGCGAAGGCGATGTATGTGGGATATGCCGAGTGCCGTACGAAGGCTGTTGTCCGTCATGCAAAGTGCCTGGGGACGACTGCCCGCTCAGTGCGTTCATTTATCCTTTATTTCCGGCGGCGTCATGACCGACCCCCCGTTCCTTTTCATTTTTTGATTCAGTATGGGGCGAATGCAGCCATGTCTTCCATATGCATTGTCTGTTGAAGTGGATCGGGA